TACATCAAATTATGGGTGGAGCCAAGTAATGGATTACAGATCATACTGTATAAAACAATGTATACCATATGCTCTATTAAAACTACATCACATTAATTTACAATAAAATCACATAGTTCATAACTTTTATCAACAGAATAGTTTGTAATATTTTAATATTAATAACATAACAATGGGAAGGAAAAATAATTAATTATTAAAAAAAACCTTTTGAGGGACTCTGTGTATTTAAATATGACATATGAGTAACAAAAAAAGATTGAGATCCCTAAAATCTCATTCCTAAGTTTACCCTAAATGATGCGGATGGTTACATATTATCGATTTGTTCAAGAATCAAACAACAGTCACTGTCACACGTCATTGTAGATGAATTTATGAGTGATATTTGAAGTCTTAGCAAAACTTATGAGTAAAACATGAGAAGTTTGGAGGGTCAAGTATAATTAAGTTACATAACATGCTGTGAGACTAGCAAGGCCTGTATGAGATTAGCTTTTACACTTAAGAATAGAATGTGATTATTTTTGAATTTGAGATACTTCTACTTATCTTAGAGTAGTGCTATTGTATATCATTTTCCTTTATCTTATTGTTGGATTCCCTCTTCTTTAAAAAATAAATAAAATAAAAAAACAAAAAAACAGAAGTCAGTTTTGACACTATATCAATGTGTACTGCAGCCATAATATGGGATCATGTACTAAGTTTCATCTTCTAATGATTAGAGTAATTGAACTAATTCATACAAAAATATGTGGCCATGGTTGTGCATTATAGTTTTAGGAAAGAGGCGCAAGCATGTTATGACAATTGAAATTGGGTTAGTTTCTAGATCTTTTTTTATAGCAGTTAATATGTTAAGAGTTAAGTTACAATGTAAGTCAACAGCTCTTCATAAACTCAAACCTAAAAAACCTCTCACATTGGTGCCTAAATGCCCTCTCTATAACTGCTTTGGCAATTGCCTGGGGTATAAAAATCTTCTATACTTAATGCAGAGCTTTTGAGAGAAAACTTTTGAAACCTTTCACTTGCATTTTTACTAGTTGCAGTTATATTTGTCATATTATCGAGGTGTTTTCTTCTCAATCGTTTTAACTTCTTCTTCTTACAAAAATAAGGAACCAAAACAAATTTTAGACATTCCTAAAGAGTAACAAAACAATTCAATTAGTTTTGTAGTGTTAAATTGATATTATGTGTCTCAACGCTCTTTCGTCAAGGGTTTAAAAACTTGAGAAAGCCATTGGGCTTAGTGAACCCATTTTGGGACCGACCTTAGTGATTCAAACTATGCACTTTTTAGGATTTTTTGATTAGAATATTCAAGTAAAAAATCATAATGATCGGACATCAGTAGCTATATGTTTGAATCACACTTGTCTTAGAAAAATAGGCAACAAATATAATTTCAAGAATAGTAATCTATTGTTTGTAATGCAAATGTGATTCAAACATATATCCACCGATATTTGATCTATCTTAATTTTTTGCATAAATATTTTACTTAATGAATCCTAAAAAGTAAATGGTTTGGATTACTGAAGTCGGCCTCAAAATAGGCCCACCAAGGCCAAACTTTACTCTCAAATTTGATGGCCAACTTGAGAGAATCCAAACCCTTTGTCAAAACACTTAAATTTCAGTTGTCCTTGAGTGTTTCATGTCAATTTCCCAAGAAATGGAAATGTTATAGGTGCTTTAATGGAAACCAAATGACTTTTTGTTCCTTGGATACAATGCAAAGAACTTGATACTATTTATTAAATACACTTTATTAAAAGTTTTACCATCATAGCCTTTCAATTTTTTTGGAAAGGTGGACAAATTTCGATTTCAAAAAAATTAACAAAATTTGGCATTTGAAAGTAAAGAACCAACCTATGAGATGTGACTGTAATAACTAATATATTCTATAGTTTTTTAATACATGTACCTGCCCACTTTTGCATGTTACTCTTTATTGTGCGAACTTGGATGAAATTATTACATTAAAGTAACCATGGGTTTCTACAATTTATTAATCAATGTGAGGGTATGGAAATGCTATATCCTAAAAGGAAAACTCCATTCATATGAAAAATTCCACAAGAATAATAAGGCAATGCCATTTTTGTAAATAAACTTATTTCCGTGAGTGCTTTGTTTTAAAATAGAAGGTCCACATTGAGCCACATCATTATGGATGTAAATTATGTACGAATATTTTGTTTGTATATCATTACTCAAAATATATCTACCAACGCTAGATTTGTATCTGTTTCATGCTCAATAGCTATGAAGCACATACAGGTGTTCGACACAGTCACAGACACGTGTTGGACACGCTAGAAAGAATTGGACACGCTAGGACACTTTCGGCACGCTTCGGACACGTTAAGGACACGCAAGGGACACGTTCAGCACACACCAGAGACACACTGAGGACACACCTAGGGACACGTTAGGGACACCTGAGTACTATTTCTTTCAAAAAAAAAAAAATTTAATTTTTTTACTAAAATAGCATATCTAAAATTGATAAATTTGATAAAATTAAATATTTGACATAAAATATATATTAAATATTTAAAAACATACATATAATAAAAATATAAAAATATATGCTTTGAACGTGTCCTCAACTTGACGTGTCTTGCATTTTTTGAAAATTTATATGTCCGCGTGTCTCTGTCGTGTCACGTGTCCGTGCTTCTTACTTCAATAGTCTGAAGTTTAACCTTGCTTGTTTTCTGTTTCATTTTCCAGTGTTCTGAAAATTTTTACACACTTTTCTTCTTCAATTTATTTTACAAGCAAATGTGTTTTACAATGCACAATAAAGTTGTGGCAATTGTTACAAAAATAAATAACCAATTAAGTTGATCAATACTCGTAATCATGCAGAGTCATTGAATTGACTTGATTTGAGCTGAGATTCAATATTAAGGCAAGTCAACAGACATACAAATGCCAATGAGATTCCATAGCATAAATAACATGTAATGTGGGGTATAGTTTATATGGAAAAATTCAATGGAAGCCATGTAAACTTAGGCAACAAATATTTTTAAAAGGACATGCGTAACAAGTAGCCATATCCACAAGGTAAAACTCGCACAAGCATATAAATTTTAAATTACAGAATATGTTATTTGATTATCATTCACGACCTCATCCAAAAATCCAAACAAAGAAATGTAGTATAACAGTGCCCTGAGCTTAGGGTGTTTCGGATGTATGAAATAATAAAAATATCCAAGATACTTTAATTCATGCATCTAAAATCAGTGATCATTAGTCATCATATTACATTTAATTTTATAGTGGACATTATGGATGTATAAACTATCATAAGCAGGTGAACTTTAACAAGCCAATATCAGTACATAGAAAAATAAAAACTTCCCTGGGTTAGAAGTTTCTGTAACACTTATGTCCTTTAAACCATTGGAAATTGCATTTGATTCCATTTCTTTTGTTATTGAGATCCTTTGGGAGGTGTATTGTTGTTTTGGTTGGGCTAAAATTCAATCTAAACTTTGATAGAATTGTTCCTTTGCGCTTGGTTATGTAGCCTTCCCAGGGTCAACACCAGAATTTCTTCCTTCCCTCTCGTTTCTGCTTTCTGGGATCGACACCATTCTTTTCCGGTGTCGACCCTGCTGGACCTATGTAATAGAATTTTGGGACTGCTTTCTAGTGTCGACACCAGGGCTTGGTGGCGGCCTGTTTTAAACATAATTGAAACCCCACTGCTTTTCGGTGTTAACACCCCTCCTCTTGGTGTTGACCCTCAACAGAAAATTTCAGAATTTTGACAGTGGATTGGGCCTTACTTTTTGGGGTTTTGACTTATTATTTTGGTTGACTTTGGGGCTGATATTCTATTATTTCCCTAGCACTATAAACAGGCCCTCAAACACTCTCTTTCCTCATTTTTATTCTTTTTCTCTCTCTTTTCTCTTTCTATGCCGTGATCTCTCTTCTCTCTCTCTCTAAACTCCAATTTTTTCACTTAAATCTCTAGATCTACGCACTTCGGGCCCTCTCCTCACCTTGGTCCTTTGAGATAGATTGAAGATCTCGTCAATAGCTTTCTTCTGATCCAAGAAGTTCGTGATTTCATTGCCGTTGAGTTTTCTGGGTTCTCCTCTTTGCTTCAAGAGGTAGGGATTTCCTCGTTTCTCTCCAATACCTTGCTATAGATGGACTTGTGGTATTTTCCTATTGCATAAAATTATGATTTTGAGAAGAGATTGTCGAAAGGCGTATAGATGTGAGTTAGGGTTTGAATCCAAAAAGCAAATCTTACTTTTAATGTTGATTTTGAGAACTTGAAGTTAATGGGACATGATTTTGATGGTTTGAATAAAAAGCCCCAATTGTTTGGTTAATTTAATAATTTTGGAGGAATAAACTTGTGGTTGATTCATGATTTATTGAACTAATTTAATTAATGTAAATGAAAAATACATGTAAGAAGATTTTTATGAAACGGGTTTGTGCTATAATGTGAATTAAATTAGTAAATAAACAAATAACATGTTCAAGGAGATTAAATCAAAAGCTCTAATTTTAATTATTCGATAATGTTGAACAATGAGACCCTTGATGTTTCTTTTGAGTCAGATGGATTCTTTTGTAAGTTAAGAATGTGACCTAAGAATGTGACTTAGAAGAGATGAAAACTCAGGTTTTGTTGAGAGTTTGAGATCTATGGAAATTCGTTATGGGAGTCGTATATTGTTTTGATTGTTGATGTATAATCAAGATTGTGTTAATGATATTGGAAGCGCGGAACATTATGAGAATCGTATTGTTTTATTCGGTAACTGTATGTTGCTAATTGTTAATGAATAGGCCATGGGTATTATGTGTTGATGATTACTTGTGAGCAGACGCCTCTCTTTGTGACATCCATGAAGCCTTTTAACATGTTGGCAACACATGCATCTAGAACAGCCACTCTAAACATTGTTATAACTTAAAAGATTCTACCAATGAGATTGGAATACCTGAGCAGATGTCTCCCTTTGTGGCATCCATGAAGAAAGCCGCCTCCATATATCTCCAGATAGCAAGCCTCTGTTCAGTAAATAAAAAATATAAAAAATCATATTGGGCATTATTTAAGGGGATAAAGGGAGTGCAGAAAAGCAGAATCAACCTGGATGTTGTATATTGATTCAAATGAGTGGGAATGTGGCCTGAAGGGTTGCCACCAGTGCACAATATAAACTTGGATTGCACTGAGAGATTTGGAGAATAAAAACTCCCCTATTATTATTGCTGCTCACAATCACGTGTAGGGTAAAATAAAAAAATTTAAGAAGAAGAAGAAGAAGAAGAAGAAGAAGAAGAAGAAAGAGGCAAGTATCATATATGCATTTATTTTCCCAATCACTGTGAAATAAATGGGATGTGGTTACTAAGATTTTTTAAAAGGAAACCAGAAAAGCAACAGTGTAAACTATATATGTGAAACAGCAATAGAAGAACACTTCACAGTGCAAACTATAGAACCATAGGCTATCAAGAGGTCAGTTGATTGCATGCTGAGTGAAGGCCCTATCACTGCCTGAATCACTGTACATTGAACCGTAATATTATTATTGTATTATTATTATTATTTTGTTTTGTTTTAATAAGTAGAACATATATTACAAAACTAGAATCAAAGATGGGATGCTTCCCATGTACAAAGATTAAACCATAATAACCTAAACTAAAAAAAGAGACCTGTACGCTCAAATGATAAAAAGGCCGAAAAATTCCTATAGATGAAGATAATCTACAGAATCAACAAAATGATCCAAGTTGGGAGACTTTCTATGAAATGTATTGTGACACAGGGAAATAGCCACGAAACTAGATATCTATCAAGTAAACGAAGACTCTTAAATCCACAAGAAAGAAACCCTTGAATCTACAAGGAAAATAGAGTAATTTGAAAATTATATTGATAGAGAATGTCTTTGCCTCTAAGCTTACATAACTATTTATACTAGATAAAGTCTTGGTCGCCAAGCAAACTTTGAGACCAGGTAAAACAAAAAACTAATTAACTAGGATAGTACTAGTCTTCGTCACCAAGTATACTTGGAGATCAAATAATAATATTTAAAAAAAAAAAAAAAACCTAATTAGGATGTGAGAAAATTGTTCAAAGTCCAATCGAACAATTGCCTAAGGCATTAGGTCCAATAAATATTTTTTATTGGTGAGAAGTCCACGCTTTATTTTTAAAGACATTTTGTTTTCAATTTCACTCTTCTATCTGTTGAAATTTTTATTTCTACTTGTTGAAATTTTTATTCTATCTGCTCTTGTTGACATTTTTATTCTATCTGCTGAACCTATTTTTTATTCTATCTGTTGAAAATACATCTGTATAAAATTATATCTGTTGAAATTCTTGTCCTATTTTTATTCTATTCTATCTGTTCAAATTTTTTTTCTCTGTTTAAATTTATATCTTTTTGTTCAACTTTTTTAACTATTTGTTTAAACATTCACAGCCACTACTCTCTCTCTCTCTTCCTCCTACGCTCTCTATCCGTCTCTTCTCCTCTCTCTCCATCCATCTCTTTCTCTCTTGTAATACACAAATTACAATCACAAACAACATATACAAAAATGGGAATAGTGTTTCAACATAGACAAAGTTGGATTTTTTTCTTATCTGCCAAAATAATTTTAATATTTTAATATATCCCTTGAAATTCACCATTGAATTTATCTGTGTGAATCTATTTGTGTGAAATTCTCCCTTTCCACTTCAACTTTCTTAGCAACCAAACAGATTGGTACTTTCCCATTCCATTTCCCCTTAATGCAACACATGGCTGTAGAGAAGAGAGGAGACTGAGTTTTTCATGAGGCTGTAGAGAAGAGAGGAGACTGAGTTCTTCATGAGTATTCTATGGATAGATCTATATAATACCTGACCTTGTGAGAAGATAGATCTTGAATGGTTTTGCTTTCCAAGTAGATTAACCTCGCCGGAGATCAAGCCCTGTCAACACCCGTTCATTTCCGGCAAGTTAAAGGGGCTCGTGAGCATATTGGCGTCAAAAAACTCATTGGATCTGAATCTTGAGCCCTCTTTTCATCACCACCTTGGGTGTTTTTGATCTCGTTCTCGAACATAATGTCAGCATCGTCAAAAAACTTATCGGTCGCTGGTACTTTGGCCAACTTCTTTTGCGACTTGGACGTTGTCAGCACTGTTGGCTTTGTTATCCGCTCAGAGCCTGACGCAACCCTAACGTAGCCTCCCCGCTGCATCTCTCCTTCACCATTAGAGAGATCTGGATCTACAAATCTAAAACCCCAACTTTGAACACCGAATCGGCATTGACGGTTCCGACAACGTAGTCCAACGATTCCAGACCTAATCCCATGGTTCACCAACTTCTCGAGGGTCTTAAAGCTCCATGAAGTCAAATCTGTGAGAGAGAGAAGATGAAGAGTGAGTAAGTTGGTGAGAAAAGGAGGAGAGAGAGGGGCTAGGGTATGAAGAGGTGCTTATCAAAGGAGGAGGATGCGAAGCAGCGGAGAAAATTAGGTTTTCGACAGTGGTGGTAGTGGTAGCAGAGCAAAGAGGGTGTTGAGGAGGGAGATCTAGGGCTAGGGAAACAGAGAGGAGAGAGAGAGAGAGAGAGAGAGAGAAACAGAAAGGTGATTTAGAGAGAGAGACGGGTTTAATGGTATATGAGACGAGATATGGTTTTAAATATATGGGGGTAGTTTAGTCCATTGTGTAGAAATATATCCTTATGGGCATAATAAAATACCGCACACTAATCAAATGATGAAAAATCTTCATTAAGCATTTAATGATATTTTTTTTTTTTCATGATACCTAGCATTACTCTTAAAATACACGTGTAAGCATTACTCTTAAAATACCTAGCATGCCCTCTAGATCTCAAACCCCTAATCCTCTCCTCTTCGGCCTGCACAAGAATCTCCATGTGTTAGCATTACTCTTAAAATACCTAGCATGCCCTCTAGATCTCGAACCCCTAATCCTCTCCTCTTCGGCCTGCACAAGAATCTCCACGTGTGCTACCGCCTCCACAAATCGATCATAGTTCCGATCATGTTTCCAACCACCTTAAACAAAATCTTGGTTCTAAGTCTCTTATCAAATTCAATGCAATGGCATTCCTCCGTCGCCACCAATTCCAATGCAAACCAGGACAAATTGGTAAAGGCTGCTTCAAATTCGGCCACCGTCGTGTTCAGTTGTTTGAGCCTCTTGCCTCAGTCTCTCCGTAGCAATGGAAGGTAGGTACTTATCTTGGAAAGCAACAACAAAAGCTTCCCACGTCGGCCCGACTAGGCCTTTGGCATATTTCCACCATTGGTCCGCGTCCCATTTCAGGTAATAACTTGCTAGGGTCACCCTAAGCTCACCATCCTCGATGTGAAGCATCCCAAATGTCTTCACAGTTTGCTCCAACCATTCATCCGCCTTCTTGGGCTCCAGACCACCGTGAAACTCATCCGACTTAGCCCGCAAGAATTCTCAGGTGAGGAAAGCAACCCTAGTCTCCACGGCATTCTCTCAGGCGTGATTCTCTACCCTCAAGATACTCATAGACTCTCTTAAAACCTCCGCCATCTCTTTGGCTAAGGCCCCCATAGCGGCATGACTCGCTTGTTCCAGGACTCCCGCTTGTCCCACTTGTTCGGCCGCATTTGCTAGGGCTACTTGCTCGGCAACATTACTTGAGCCGAACCCCTCCTCTTGCACCAGAACCTCATTAACCGGTACCTCATAAACTCCTTGGCAAGGCCTACCCTGCCTTCCGCCTCTACCACCGCGAGTCTGTCCTCATCCTGACATCCTAATTAAGGACAAAAACAAACAATTTAGCACATAGTCACACATGTGCTTGCAACTGAATCTCACGTGTCCAATCACAATAATTAATAAGCTTTTAATTCACACTGGGCCACATTTGGGGACTAAGTATTTTAGCCAAAAAACCAAAAAATCACTATAAGTAGTCAAATCACTCTCTACTTTTGCGCACTTAATTTTTATAAAAAGTCAAGAAGTTACTAAAATAGCCTATTCCCAAACGAGGCAACTCCACGTCAGCACTTAGTCACATAAACACATACGGATTACTCATTCAAGATAATGTTTGTCCCACAAAATAATGCGAGTTCCCATTAGAATGAGCGTTGGTCAGGTGCCTTTCTAATGAGACATCAAGGGATTTAATAGACGCAAGCAATATCCTCAAAGTTTAGTCTCATACCCATCTAGTCAAGTAAACATGTTATCGTATAACAATTAAAACATGGAACATCTCCTAATTTAGCTAAATGAACCCATTATGATAAAACCACTTCCCGCGAAACCTAAGTATTCAAACCCAGTAACTCTGATACCAAGTTGCAACGTCCTCAAATAATTGACATAAAAATTACCGATTATCCCATTCAGTAAACAATTCCAATTTGGTTAATCAAATCTCTAAATCCGTATTTCTTTTATGTAAGAGATTTACAAAAGAGATCCACATACATTACACATTCACAGCATGTACGACCATATAATAACAAGAAATAAACAACAAAGGAATGCCTCAAGAGCTACAAGTTCCGAGGCTCACGCCTAGTTACACAAAAGTAGTTAATTAACTCATACAATTTAAGCCTTTGACTTGTCAAAAAATAATCACAAAAGAAAAGAGTTTCTTGCTCTCAAAAGACTTTCCACGCCCTTAGCTAGGCGGGATCACCACATTTTTTACTGCACAAATCCACTAGGGGTGATCACAAAACCCAACAGAGGTATCTTCACAAAGTATACATGTTTAAGTAGTCTTATATATATATGTGTATGTGTGTGTGTGTGTGGATGCAATGTTATGCCATGCTACAAAGTTAAAAACTTCGTTTTCTTTTTAAAGAAAATCAGATGCCATGATCCTTTAAGGAATTACTTAATCATCTCAAAAATTTCAAAATTTAAGACGAGGTGGTAAATACAATTCAAGAAAATTCCCAACGCTAGTGTCTGCAAGTAAGCATATCAAGCACTATCAAATCCTACCTCACCGGCTTCTAACCGGAGGGCTTAGGCACCCACACGCGCTTGCTTCTGGTCTTACACCAAGGACTCAGGCTAACTTAATTCTCAAACTACACCCTTTAACCGGATTTCCCACCGTATTTATCTAAAAAACATTTCAATAACAATTGTTTTTCTCAAGCAACAAAAGCATTTCCAGGGCATAGCCATAGTTAAACCATATTTTGAAACTATGTAAAATGAATGAATTGAAATGCAATATTTTAGTTTCGATTTACATGATTCCTCCACAATTCTCAACATTTGCTCAAGGAACAAAAAATATGATATTCAATATCTATATATGTTCATACTCCAAAAATTCATATAAATTCCATACCCGTGTGACATGACATTGCTTCATATTCACAATCAACATTCGTTTTCATTTTCATATTCTAAACATATACACAACATGTTATCATAATTTCTCAACAACTCTCATCCCTTTCATGAGTTTCTCAACAACATAATAACAAGAGGAAGATTTCTTCATTTTCTCAAGGAATAATCAACAATTTCATGGATATTTCACAAATTTCACTTTTCCCCCAAATTGCCCCAAAACCTAGGGTTTGACCAAAAGAGGGGTTTTCCTTCGTTTTCAAAATATTTTTTTCTTGCATATACCTTTAAGTGGTTCATAGTTCACAAAATAATTTATCTTGGACCAAAATCATAAGAAATATTCTCTAACATTTTCTAAACCCAACACTTTAAAACTCAAATCCCAAACTTGAAATCATAGTAAGATGGATAGAACATACCAAAATCATATATTATTCAAAGAAACTCCCTACCTCTAGATTTGAGAAGAAAAGATGAAAAGCTTCGAAATTAACAGCATCGAAATCCAATCTTCATCGTACACAATGTACCCCTTGATGAGCTCTCCAAAATTAAAGAAGGCACTAGGGTCAAAATCTCAATGAAAATGGAGAAATCAAGGAAGTAAATGAGGTGGGTGGAGGGTTTCTAGAGAGAGAGATGAGAGAAAAGAGAGTGAGAGTTAATGCGGAGAGAGAGAGAGAGAGAGAGAGAGAGAGTGAAGTGAAAAGTGAAATAAAGGTGTGTAAGGGTTCAACTTTTAAGTGATTGGACACATTTTTCAGAACAGCCTGTGGACAGACCGCTCAAGCAAACAATCCTGCACTCGAGCAGTCAATTCAAATTCTAAGACCACTAAAGCGAACAATCTTGCGCTCGAGCGATCAATTCAAATTCTAAGACCGCTCGAGCGAACAATCCTGCGCTCGAGTGAAAAATGCCAACTCCCAAAATCTCTCCTTGCAAAAAAACCACACAAGTGATCAAACCTTCGCTCGAGCGAAGAATACACACTCCCAGAAATTCAGACTGCAAGGTGAAATACTGGAAGGACGTCATTATCGCTAGAGCGATAAAAGTACTACTCGAGCGATCCCAACTCAGAACAGAGGCATTAGACACCAAAATGCATTTCCACCATTCCCGGAATCACTCCAACCCCCACGAATGCAAACAACACCCCGGAACACTAGGATGCATTCGAAGAACTTTAGAGAAAATGATTGACAACAATAAGAGACTCACAAGGCTCCAAAGTAGCAAGGATGATCAAAAGGAAATGAAAATTTTTGATTGAAATACTAAATTTATTTTAAAAAGACCTCAGGACATCACAATAAGGATAAGATGGTGTACCGTCCACACATGCAAGCACATGCACGTGGCGTAGGCAATGGGTTGTGAGGTGCTTTGATGGGGGTGCACTTTGCACTTAGCATGGATGCATTGGTGTGAGGCACCATGGAGGCGCTTTCCTATTTGCTACGGGAAGGTTGGGATGATAACATGGATCCAACATGGCAAGGGTGACATGGAGCACAATCAGCTCTGCATGGAGCACAATCGGGTTTGTCCAGTCAAGGTAACCCTCTGGTGTGAAACAAATATGCACCATAGATAATAGATCCAACGATAAGATCTAATCAAATGTGATCGAGGGACAAGACTCATCCAAACAAGTGCATCTAAGCCTATTATATAGGTTACGAACTCCCTCTTGATTTTGAGTTTTTGATTAAGGCCAAGTTTGGCATGACCTAAATAATACAAAAAATCAAAAAGTCACTATCCTATTTAAGTCACATCATTTTATTTAAATCACATCACCTCTCTAACACATCACATCAAACCCAATCCAAACTCAACCCATATAAGTCAAAAAGTCAAAAAGTCAAAAAGTGTACTTTTTTAGAGCATCCCAAACCAACCCTAAGAGTTTTTCTAAAGCAAATTTCTATTTTCTCTGTCTTTCCTGAAGACTTGATTATCAGTTTTCTTGGTTCTCTTCTTGGTGCACCTCGTGTGGCACCTAGCACCCAAGGTAATATAGGAATGTTGCGCCTTGCATACACCCACCCCTCCCACTTTTAATACACTGTCAGTCAGAAGCTCATGCAGCCCTAGTTTAGCATTTGTGAGGCATGATTTATAGATGCAGAAAGTTATAGATGAAGCAAAAACCCAAAAAACCAGCAGGAAACAATCTTCCAAATAATAACAAACAAAATATCTCAGCCAAGCAATAGAGCAAACAACCAAACTCATACACCAACAGAGAGGAGGGGGAGTAACAGATAATGGACAGAGGAGAAAGAGAGGAGGGAATTCCAACCATTTGGAGGTTTCTGGCAATCAGACAACCTTCCCAAAATATGTAAATTTAACTTCTTAATTTTCCCTCCTTTCAACTTCAGAAATTAGTGTTATGTTGTGCTTCTTTTTTTTAATCTTTGAATGAGATATTCGTATATATAACATAATAAATACATAATACTACAAATTTTGCATGTGTCCGCACTTGTGGTGTCCTGTATTTTTCAAAAATTGTATGTGTCCCGTGCCATGCTTCTTAGCAAAATGGACAAGTGAATCATCCACGGTGGAACAACTTTGGAACTTCATGTTATAATTTCAACAACATGATTTCATCTATACAATTTATTAAACTTTTTTCGCCCACTTTATTAAAAATTTGGGTAAACTACAAACACACCCTCTGAGATTTACTTAAATTACAAATTACCCCTTGTGGTTCTAGAAATTATATTATGCCCCTAAGGTTTCTAATTTTATAACAAATAAGTCCTTTTGTTAATAAATCATAAAGTTAATTGGCAGTTTTTAATAATATTAAAATTTTATTTCAATTAATAATTCAAATAATTCTATTATTGTTTAGGTAAATTTCACTTTTTCAATTAAGTCTGTTAAATAAAAAATTCTGACAATAAGGTATTTGCAATTTTTCAAACCCACAGGGGGCAATTCGTATTTTAAGCAAACCTCAGAAGGTGTATTTGTAATTTATCCTAAAAATTTCAACTACATAATTCCATCTATTACAATTTATTAAAAAAAATTCACCCAATTTACGTAATTGTATAACAGTTGTCTTTTATAACATCTAACTTCACTAAAGAACTCATAAAGGGCCATTACTAAGTACAATTTGTTATAAATATGACATTATCACTAAAACAACTAGGTAGGTCCATTGATTACATCTCAACGCACCTTCTAGAAAATGAACCTTTCCAGTAGCATTTGAACCATTCCATATGTAAAATATATTCACAGGAATATTTACTAATATTTACAATAACAGATCATCCCAGAATTATTAATGTCAAATTTTCCAATCGCACAATTTATGACTCCACTCAAAGAGATAAACTTTGCACCTCCATATGTGATGTAAAACAAAAAGAAGCAGTTCATTTTTTATTTTATTGTTTTTGGTCCAACTGCAGTTCACTTTCCATGGCACTTAACAGACTGAAAATTGCATTATTATTCTGGCAAAAGAAACCGCATAGGAAAAATCACAGCAAATTGTCACAAATGCTAGTGCGTGCCTCAACGATCACAAAAAGGTAAGGTCAACGGCAAGGCACATCACATATTTTTATCTATATCCAAAGATAAGAAATGCATACAAATTTATAAAATAAAAAAGCTGAAAATTGCACGAAGAAGAAAGAGGGCAACTCAATCAATCAAAAAAGAACATTATTCGAAGATTACTTACAAGCCATGAGGAGGATTCAATGGAAGAATAGAAGGATGATCCAGGTAGTAGAAAATTGAATAACCCATACGTATCTGATAACAGAAAGAATTAAGTATGTCAAATCACTTCCTAAAAGATCACAGTAGCCAGGGAAATATGTATACAGAGTTGGAAAGCTAGTACTAGATCTTGGAAAGGAATGGAGAAACATACATGCAAATCCAGACAAAATTCCACAAAGGTGGCCAAGTAAAGAGACATTTGTCATGAGAAGCTGGAAAACTACCAGTAAGATCCATGCATACCTGACAGTGTCATTGAAAGTCACATTGGAGATGGTGGAGATATTCTAACAGATGAAAAGAAATAAGAAATCAAATTACAACACCAAGATTGTTACATCATTTACCATTTAGCAGGCACATTAAATAGTCCAAACACACTGCAGACAAATAAGACATCAATCAGTAAACCCCCATATAATATAAGAAGTTACGAAGTGCATACGGATAGTTGAAAGCAAACTACAATGGTTTCAATAAGCAGTAGATTCCTCAAGGAACCAGTGTCAATGCATGTGCACAAGAAGGTGGATGGAGAAATTGACAGGTTTTATATGTACAGAGAGAGAGAGAGAGAGAGAGAGAAATAACTGTAATCACATAAATCAAAATTTCAGTGTTAGGAAAACAAACCTTCTATATTGGACTCCACTTAAACTTGTCTCTATAACGATCATAGAGAATAAGATTCCTGAGAAGCCTATTGCACACTCATTCATGATATACTGAATAGGGTGAAAGGGATTAAAAGATACCAACAACGCAATAAGAAGATGAAATATGGCATTGCTACTAGCCAATAGGATTATCATGTACAACAAGCGGACGGAGCCCATAACTCTCTCCAGCTCAGAGCCCAAAGGAACCAAAGCCATCATATTGAATAGAACATGTAGCAGAGAACCATGAAAAATAATAGATGTATAAATCCTGTAAACTGCAAAAGGCGACAAAATCAAGGTTTGCCATCATAAAACTGGCATAAGAGCTTTATAAAATTGACACAAATGTTGTTCTAAACAGATAACATGCATCATACAAAAACATAAATACGAGATGGCGAGGAACAGGCATCTAGTGTATTCTTCCTTTCCCTGAAATAGACTTCTAATCAAATCAGAACCAGTTGGTGCCTTGAAAAAGATAATTTACAAATGCTGAGCCACAAAAACTAAAATTGAGCAACCATGTAATCTGAATCTAAAGATGGAATATGGGCTGGCATGATCCAAGGCAGACTAGACAACCCTGAACTCTACATGGCCTTAGCTAGGCTCAAGACTTGGGCACCCAAAAAGTAGTTCATGCTGAGCACAGGCTGAATCTTAACGGCAGATTTAAGAATTAGTTCTTTTGGGGATCAAAGAACAGTTCAGATTGGAACAGAATCTTCTTTTATATAAGAATTTCCAAACTCCAATACAATATCATGTTCTGTGCATGAGAAATATATTACTAGAAGTGTGTTCCACCCAACCATGTACAAAATATCTTTCTCAATGAAAAAGAAAAAGCAATGCTGAAGCACGGACACTTCAAAATAGCCGCCGTAGTGGTGCTAGACACAGGGGGCACAGTAGGGACACGTAGGGGACACACCAAATGGCGTTTCCCTTTAATTTTATTATTATTATTTTTTTTTTAAGGGACACGCTGAGGAGACGGCAGGTACACGCCAAATGGAGTGTACCTTTAATTTTATTTTATTTTTTTCGCAGGGGACACACATGTTCAAATATGGATAATCTATTAATTTGCTTAATATATTAAATTAATGTTAGTTTTTATTAATTTTGATTATTTGGTAACCTAACGTTAATCTACATAGCAAAAATATATAATAAAAATAATAATAATTTGCCATGTCTCCTGCCGTGTCCATATCCTCATTTTTTTGAAATAATCGTGTCCCATGTCCATGTCTGTGTCTGCACTTCATAGGCAATAGCATGCAACACAGGATAGATTTTTCCCTTCCAAATGAAGTTTTACCATAACATTTCTCTAATTTAGGAGCCAGTATGGAATTGATTTAATTTTCTAAAATATAGCTTCAGCCTACAATAATAACTAGCTTGAATCTGCTAATATGGTTAACACTGCATTTCACTTGATACCTTGACCTGATCATGGCCTAGACATGCCGTGGGCCCTAGACATGCCATGGCCCACTATATCTAGAAGCACTAGTATACCTGCAACAGTCTGAGCATACATCCAAACTTGCAGTTCCAAATCCTGATGCCAAATTTAATCAGGAAACTTGAATGAGTAGCCATATGAGCAACGTACTTAAGGGAGGCAACCCATACAGTGCCTAAAGCCAAACTGAACACAAACTGCCTAGGTTATCATACAAAGTAGCAAGCAGATCAAATTGAATAATAATTCTTTTCATGCAGACTGGTTACGGTCTATGTAGAGTCCTGGGTCTAAAACCGGACTTGAACCCATGGGTACGGATGCCCCAACACACTTTCGGGCTTATGAATTGATGGATTATATTGTTGTTTAGTTGGTTGAATTGATATCATGGATGTTTAGTTCATATTGCCTTGAATAAATTTTGTTTCAAGCGTAAGAATGAACAACGGAGGCGTAGAAACACATTTAAAACCAAACCTACCCAGATATTGGCAGCACAAGCTACCGAGATGCAGTGAGGGTTGGACCAGGCGCTGCACGAGCGGCCAGTGCCTGGGACAGGAGACGTGGCTGCACATCAACCTAGTATTTTGGGACCCCTTTTTTGATATTTCTGATCCAGCTGCCTCTTCCCTCATTTACTCTCTCTCTCTCTCTACCATAACTCTATCATTCAAACTCGAGATTGAGAATTTTAGAGTGAAAGTCTCTCCGAGATTATAACTTTAACATTGTAGAGCTTGACGAGAGCTTCGATTTCATCCGAGCCAAAAGTCATTTCAGTCATCGTTTTGAGAGTTGTCTTCTCCTCCTCTGCAAGAGGTAGGATTCTATTTCACTAGCTCAATATGGGTTTATGGATATATTGGTGGTAATTTTATACAAAGCATTTGAGTTGTTGATTTTTGGGAAAATAGCATGAGAAGTTCGATTGATCGAATTGATTGAATGATTCTATATATTTTTGTTATCTATCTATTTTCACAATACAAAATTGCATGTGGGTACTTAAAATTGTAACTGTTGAGATTTCATAAATTGAGAAATTAGTATTGAAATATCGAAATTGGCGATGTTATGTTAAATTTTATGGTGTCAAACTAAAATTTGAGATGCATATCGAAATTGGGAATTTATGAATATAATTTCAAATTCTTTTTTGGTTAGAGACAATTGTTAGGCCATTGTTGGGAATTGAATTGTTGTTGATATTAATATAATAGGATGTTGAAAACCCACACTTTTGATATTATTGAATTGTTGATTTTAAGAGAATGAAACCCCATTGTTGAACGGAAGTGCACGGAGCACATTTTACGAGAATTGAACATTGCATTGTTGCATTGGTTACATTAAAACATCATGGTTTTAATTGGTTGCTAGTGGTGAATCCGGGTCATGTATAGATGAGATTGAGATTAATTTGGCTTGATAGTCCATGGTAAAAGACCAAAAACCTGCACGGTGTAGGTGTCAGGTCCTTCCGGGTAGCAACCAATAAATTTGGTGGGTTTAGGTGACATTTGGCGATGGTCACTGACTGGCAGAATGTAGCTTCAAATAGTGCACTAGATTAGGTGGCGCTTAGCAGATACATGTACTCGAGAAGATTTTTTTTTTTTTTTGATAAATAAGCAGACTTTATTAAAAGCATCAAGCCGATGCAAAGAATGCAATATTAAACCTACCAACTAACAGCAAATATAAACAAAACAGCACTAAATAGCAAAAAACAACTAAATCAACTCCTTGACAAAATCAACAAAGGTCAAAATTTCCGGGTCCACTGGTAATGATAACCAACTATGCAACACAATGAACAAACGCCTCTCCAACCATGCCATCGAACGCATCTCCCCCAAAAATACTCGCCTATTACGCTCCAACCAAACGAGCCACAATAGACAATGACTAGCCAATTTCCAAGCCTTCCGATGACGCTTCCCAACCCTTCCCCCAGCCTAACTATGTAACACCATCCGCACTGTCCCAGGTTAAACCCCAGACAAATCGAAGATAGCAACAATAACCATCCAAAGACGAGATGCAACCGGACAGCAAATCAGCAAGTGATCCACCATTTCCGCATCCCGACAACACGTTACACTAGTTTACTAAAATATGCCCGCGACGAACCAAATTATCAATCGTCAGAATACGCCCCAAAACTGCTGTCCAGCCAAAAAAAGTAACTTTGGACGGACAACCCACGACCCAAACAGTCTTCCATGGGAATGGCATCCCATCCCTTCCCGAAAGCGAATGGTAAAAAGAAGACACAGAAAATACCCCTTTGGACTTGGACCCATCCCATCTCAAAGAATCCTCCCCAACCCCCCCAAAACTAGAGCCCATACAAAAAGCCCAACAAATCCAACAACTGGTCCACCTTGCAATCCTGCACATCCAGCGAAAAATCAACGGGAACATTACCTCCAAAACCATCTCATTACACCACCTATCCCTCCAAAACCGAACTCAATCCCCCATTCCAACCTTAAAACTAACCCTTTTCAAAAACTCCTCCCGGCCCAAACAAATACCTTTCCATAAACTCCGTCCATGCAACTGTGTAACCTCCCCAGTACTCCAATCCCCCCCATCTCAAACCATATTACCCCCCCAAAACTAGAGCCCATACAAAAAGCCCAACAAATCCAACAACTGGTCCACCTCGCAATCCTGCACATCCCGCCGTAGCCCAACATTCCACACCACCACCTAGCCTTGAATTTGAGCATAAGATGCCACCGTCGCCTCTTGATCAATCACAAGACGAAAAATCAACGGGAACATTACCTCCAAAACCATCTCATTACACCACCTATCCCTCCAAAACCAAACTCAATCCCCCATTCCAACCTTAAAACTAACCCTTTTCAAAAACTCCTCCCGGCCCAAACAAATACCTTTCCATAAACTCTGTCCATGCAATTGTGTAACCTCCCCAGTACTCCAATCCCCCCCATCTCAAACCATATTTAACTTCCACTACTGTTCTCCACAACCGCTCCCTTTCGACCCCAAACCGCCATAACCACTTCCCCAGAAGGGCCAAATTGAACAAAACCAAACTCCGAATCCCCAAACCCCCTATCATCTTAGGAGAACAAATCTGATCCCAAGTGACTAAATGGTAATGAAAAGACTCAGAACCACCACCCCATAAGAAATCCCTCTGTAATTTCTCTAATCGCTTAGCAACAGATACAGGGATGGCATAAACAGACATAAAATAAGTTGGTATGCTCGAGAGCACTCTTTATCAAAGACACTCGCCCCCCTTTCGAAAGGTATTGACGCTTCCAGCCGGCCAGACGACGCGGCACCCTGCCCACCACCCCATCCCACACCCCTTTCACCTTATATGAAGCACCCAAAGGTAACCTCAAATAAGATGTGGGCAATGCAGCCACCTTGCACCCCAAAATGGCAGCCAAAATCAATATAGGGGTAACTGCACCAACCGGAATCATCTCGGATTTTCCCAAATTCACTCGAAGCCCCAAAACCGCCTCAAAGCATAAAAGAACACATCTCAAATAACCAATCTGAGTCTCCTCCGCTCCACAAAAAATAAGGGCATCATCTGCATAAAACAAATGAGATACCACCAAGCCAGTATGTTGTGCCATTCCCACCTCGAAGCCTGTCAACAAGCCTCTCTGAACCGCCCTGGATAACAAACGGCCCAAAGCCTCCATAATCAAGATAAACAATAACGGAGACAAAGGATCTCCCTGCCGCAAACCTCCATACATCAAGAAGAAACTTGCTGGCATCCCATTCAGG